AGGTTGTAATGTGAACAATACCCAAAGCAATAAGGGTAGAGATAACAGAAGAAAGTCGTCACTTCCTCGAATTGGTGAGGATGGAGCGTATACAGCCTCTGCATTACTTGGTGAGGCACGCGAGCTAACTGGTCCGAGCTGCAATTTCTGTAAGGCAGGTCACGAGTCGCCAAATTGCCCAGTTTTCAATGACAAGTCATTACATGACAGGTGGAAGCTAGTTCAAGAGAATAAACTGTGTTTCAATTGTTTAAAGCCTAGCAACCACAAGCACTTTTCCAAGATTTGTCGCTAACCTAAGTGTTCTGTGGCAAATTGTGGCCGCCGTCATCACAAATTGTTACATGGTCAGCAGTTAGTGGCTACACCCCAGCAGCCTTCCAACATCAGTTTAAGTGGGTTAGCTTCAGCTAAACCTGCATTGCCCTTGAAGGAAACACTGCTACAGACAGCGTTGGCGAGGTTAACTGTTAATGGTCAAGAAATGACAGTCCGTGTTTTGCTAGACTCTGGTAGTCAACGTTCATATATGTGCGCAAGAGCATTGCAGAGTCCCTTGGCTTGCAAGGTCCCACAGAGTTATTAAGTGTTACAATGCTCGGTGGAACAACTAGTGAAACCAAGAGATTACAGAGAGTTAAATTTGCACTTTCGCCAATGAAAGGAGATTCCAAGGTGGAGATGGAGGCCCTTGCTATTCCCAAGATTTGTAACCCCCTAGGGCCAGTGCAGTTAGACTTTCGTAAGAACTCTCACCTTCAAGGTTTAACTCTCGCAGATTCCTACCCTCGCGATTCCGTCCAAGTAGACGTCCTTATTGGTGCAGACTTTTACTACTCGTTCGTAACTGGGTTGTACAAGAAAGGTAGTTCATCTGAGTCACTTGTTGCTGTTGAATCTCATCTCGGGTGGTTTCTTACCGGACAAGTAAACCGTTACTCAAGGTATACCACATCCATGCTTACCGGTGTAGAAAACAGTGGACTCACTAAAAGCTTGAAAAGATTCTGGGAACTGGAATCTATTGGCATCGCCGAGACTGAAAACACTGTTGTTTCCCGGGAGGAGGAAGTTGCTGTTGCTGACTTCAATAGAGGATTGAAATTTGACGGGAAGAACTATGAAGTACGACTACCGTGGAAACGTGACCCTCCTAAACTGGAAAGTAACTACATGCAAGCTGTTAGACGTCTGGAAAGCATCGAAAGAAGGTTAAGACATGACCCTGTGAAAGCTAAAGCTTACAATTCTGCAATCAATGAATATGTAGAGAAAGGATTTGCAGAGGTAGTGCCTAACGAGAATGATGAAGATAGAACTGTACGCTACCTGCCGCATCATGCTGTGTTCCGTGATGACAAAACGACGACTAAGTGCAGAATCGTGTTTGATGCTTCCGCGCGAGAAGGAGATGGTGTCTCTCTCAACGATTGTGTCCTTCCCGGTCCTGCTTTACAGCCCAACCTTGCATCTGTACTCATTCGATTTCGAACAAACAGAATTGGTCTCATAGCAGATATTGAAAAGATGTTTCTTCAGGTAAAGCTAGCGCCAGAGGATAGAGACGTTCACCGGTACCTGTGGAGAGATTTACAATTTAACGAAACACCCAAAGTTTATAGAATGCAAAGACTGACATTTGGTGTGAACTCCAGTCCATTCCTTGCTATTTCGACTGTCCATGCTCATGCAAAAAAATACGCAGAACTGTTCCCAAATGCAGTCCAAGAAATTCTACAAAACATGTATGTGGATGACGTCCTAACAGGAGCCGATACGGTGGACTCGACTGTGAAACTTCAACAAGACATGTCAGAGATCATGATGAAAGCGGCGTTTAACTTGACAAAGTGGGCAAGTAACTCACAGCTCGTAATGGATGCTATTGCCCCAGCCAAAAGAGCCTCATCGTCACTGGTGGAGTTTGAGTCGAGTGAACCCCTTAAAGCGCTTGGAGTCTCATGGGATTTGACCTCTGATCACTTCCGATTTCTTGCACCGGGTGGAATTGTCTTATCTCCGGATCCAATGACAAAGAGAAGCCTGCTTAGTCTAGCATCGAAAATGTTTGATCCTTTAGGGCTGATATCTCCCTTCACTGTCAGAGCCAAAATCCTCTTCCAAGAACTGTGGTTGAAAGGATTATTGTGGGATGACCCTTTGGACAGTGAAATTAAAGCAAAGTGGCTACATTGGAAGTCAGAGTTGTTGCAACTGAAAGGCGTGACCATACCCCGATGCTTCGGAAATGGCATCACGCAAGATTCTAAGATAGAGCTACATGGTTTTGGAGATGCCTCTCCTAAAGCGTACGGAGTAGCAGTGTACATCAGAATAGCAGACAAGCAAGGTCATTTATCCTCGCAGCTGGTAATATCAAAGTCCCGAGTCGCACCTATAAAGAAAGTGTCACTACCCAGACTGGAACTTTTCGCAGCAGTTGTAAATGCCAGGTTGTTGAAGTTTGTTGTAGACACTTTGCCTATGGAAGTGAGTAGTGTTGTGTGTTGGACTGATAGTATGGTGGTACTGCATTGGGTAAAAGGTCAGAGTTCTCGTTGGAAACCATTTGTGGCGAATCGAGTTGCAGAAATACAGTCTATGTGGGATCCTGAGTGTTGGAGGTACTGTGCTAGTAAGGAGAATCCTGCAGATTTGTTGACGCGTGGGTTGAGCTGTGATGATATGATTGCCAATACCTTATGGTGGAATGGACCTCGGTGGCTGTCTTCGAGTGACAAACCTTTACCCGTTCAGCCCCAAGGTGGTACTGTTCCCTCTGAGGTATGCGAAGGGGAAAGGAAAATTGCTCATGGTTGTACAGCAGTCGTTAGAGAGCCGTTAATTGATATGTCGCGTTACGGGACATGGTTAAAGTTGATTCGAGTAACCGCTTATGTACTGAGAGCAGTCAAGTTGTTCAAGACTAAATGTAAGTCTTCTGAAAGTGAACTGTCGGCAGAAGAAGTGAAGAAGGCAGAGATTAAGTGTTGTAAGTGGGTACAGGAAGAGGTCTATAAAGAAGATTACCAGTTGCTAAAGTCCGGACAAACTCTTCCCAAGAACAGTCGCCTTCTCAAACTAGACCCGTATTATGACAGAGAGGATCAGGTTATAAGAGTTGGTGGCCGACTGCAGTTTGCTGATCTACTTGAACAGACCAAGCATCAAGTAATATTGCCTCACGGACATCCCGAAGTCGCAAAGATGGTACTAGACCTACACAAGATCATGTTACATGCGGGCCCAGAAAGCATATTGTCAACCTTAAGACAGAAAATTTGGCTTACCCAAGGGAGACGAGAAGTCAAACGTGTTATCAGAAGATGCGTGGCTTGCCAAAAACAGCGAGTTGGACCTTGCGCGCAGAAAATGGGCCCATTGCCGGAGGAGAGAGTTTCATGTTCACCAGCTTTCGCGCATGTTGGAACTGACTTCGCAGGACCTCTCTATGTAAAAGAAGGTTCAACCGTACAGAAAGTGTACATTTGTCTATTCACATGCGCATCGTCTCGTATGATTCACTTGGAACTAACACACAGCCTTACCACTGATGAGTTCCTACAAGCCTTTAGTCGCATGACAAGCCGCAGAGGTCTTTGCCATACGTGTGGTCCGACAACGCAAAAACCTTTAAGGCTGCAAGCAAGGAAATCCAGAAATTGTATGATCCTAGTACTCAAAGTCGAACGGTGTGGGATACATTGGATCGAAATCGAATTAATTCTGAGCTCTCGTCGAAAGGGATTACGTGGAAATTCATCACCGAGCATTCACCATGGCGAGGCGGATGGTGGGAACGATTTTTCAGAGCAATCAAAGAATCATTGCGTAAAGTGCTTGGAAAGGCGCTTCTCACCTTTTCTGAGTTGAACACATTATTAATTCGAATTGAAGGCATCATCAACTCGCGACCATTAACGGCAGTGAGCGACGATTGCAGAGACCCTTTGCCGGTTACACCTGCTCATCTTGCAATTGGTAGACCGATTAACCAGTTACCTGAGAGTAAAGAAGAAAGCTTGGAGGAGTCTAGTAAAAGAACTGTCGTAAGGTATCTTTACCTACAGAGACTACTCAACCACTATTGGAAACGTTTGCAACGAGAATATCTGCACCTTCTGTCCGTTAGAAGTAAATGGCGAGAGGAAAACCCCTCCATTCGAGAGGGTGATATCGTATTGGTCTCAGATGATAATGTATCGCGTACCAAGTGGCCAATGGCCAGGGTGGAAAAGGTTCATCCTGGTAAGGACGGACTCGTGCGAACGGCTACCGTGAAAGCACAGAAAGGTGTATTCAACAGGCCTGTTCAACGGTTACACAGATTGGAAATTGATGCAGCGGCCCCACAAGTTACCCGTGAAGCTGATGTTCCTGTTGACGGTGGGGAGAAGTCTCGAGCGAGCTCTGTTAATGTTAAAAGTGTACCTATTCGTAAGCCTAAGAAGAGAGTTGTCCTCCCCGAAGGAGGACAAGGTGGGGAGAATGTTACGGCCCATCGTCGTACTCGTACTCGGGTCATTAAAAGCCCCGTGAGACTGGACCTGTGAGAGTAGAATAAATTATGTAGATAACACGTCACGTGACTTCCTTGCTAGTCGCTCGTAGATTTGTTGTAAGTCGGGTTCGCGGGCAGTACATCAACCTGTTGTAAATCGGTGTATCGTAAATCGAGCGGATTAAAGTTGTGTTCAAGCGTTCAAGTTTGTATTCCATCGCTTCCTTAACACTTGCTATGAAACACTGAGTTTGTCCCTAAGTGATGTCTACAAACTTAATATGACTATACCGATACTATAGTAGACTGTTTACTTATTGTCCTTGCATATTTAAGTCTGTTGCAAAGCTCACATCCGCCTTCCGATGGCCTTAGATGTTACGTCACAAGCGCGAAAAATTTATCGTCCGAATTTTTGTACCTTCCGAGCTTCGTTATTGACTTCACGTAACACCTTTTTGTGGAGGATAGACAAAAGGTTGTTTTCTGTTTCAAAAGATCTCGCTCGACCGTACGTTTCTTGGCTGTGACAGTGATGTTCTGTGCTGGGCTGGTTCATATCCTCGCTCTTGATGATGAACTGGCGCGAAAACCGCGAGGAGAAGATCGCGTATCTACTGAAGGCACTGAAGTTGGTGGACAACAATCGGTGCCGTACCGTGATCGAAGAACGGTGAAAAATAACCGAACTCCCAATCTGGCGGACTTTGCAAACCGGCTGAAAGATCTCGAAGAAAGGTAGCTAAAGGTATTATGTTAGCTCGGCGATTTGCTATCTCATTTTGAGAACTCAGTTAATTCGAGGCCAGGGGAACATTCTATTAGACACTGTTTATCGGTTACGATGCTCGATCACACTGTTTGTAAAATGATGGATTTACTAACCTCATTTACTCTTCCTTGCCAAGCCACAACAACAGCATACGTTTGTCTCGAATGATGATCAGACGATTTCATGAACTGGAGAAAAGGTTTGAGAAATTAAATTAAAAATTCACCTTTGTTAACATAATTGCTTTTTTAAACTAAGTATACTTCGATTCTGAAATTGTCATTGCATACTGGGGGAAATCTGTTCAATCTCTTGTCTAACGAAGCATGTGCTTTTGGCAACATGGCAAATCCCCTCTTTCCTAAAATGTGTAACGACGACTCCTGAGATCAGGAAGGGGGATATTATAAGCCTTTACAGTCAAACCAGGTCAAGCGTTCCCGTCGCTAACAAACTAATTAATTCATTAATGGAAAAATAATTTCGTTTGTTGATTCAATAATCCATTCATAAAATGAATAATCCAACAGTCAAATTGGACCTCGATTCAATAATCAAATGTTGATTTGGTTTATGAGCAAAATCTACCTGTTCTTTATTCTTGTCTGTTGTGTTCAATCGTATTTGCTTCCTTTTTCCTGCCGTTTACGATTGCGTTTTTCATTGCCTTTAATCAAAATAACAGCTAGAATAGACAGACCGCAAACGCAAAGAAACTATGAGAAACTGACAAAGGCCGAGGATTGAAATCCACCAATCACCGCACATACACTGACCTTAGTTTGACCGTTGTGTTTTCTAAGAGGTCAGGCCTGGGTCTGTTGCACTGATTACTGGCAGCAAACTGGCGTACATGTAACAGTTTGTTTGGGTTTGAACTTCAGAACTCGCCGGCACTGGACTCTCAGAAAAAAAAGAGGAAAAAACAAAATTCTGAGGTCAACTTGTGGAAAGTGTAGTTTTTCAAAAAACAGTAATCGAATCAACATTCGATTATGGAATCGAGGCTAAATATGAATATTGGATTGTTCATTTTATGAATGGATTATTGAATCAACAAACGAAATCATTTTTCCGTGAATGAATTCATTAGTTCGTTAGCGACGGGAACGCTTGACCTGGTTTGACTGTAAAACAGTTTCAAAACTGTGCATAGGCTTGGGTCTCCTATTATAAAAGTACCTGGATACCCCCTCTAAACAGGAAAACGCTTTTTGTTGGCCGGCACTGATGAATGTTGAAGACTTGCAGCCCGCTTGTGTGGGAAGATCCGTTTTCAGATCCAGAATAGAATATCCTTCAGTGTAAAGACCAGAGTAATTGTTGATTATCTATAAACTGACTTGATGACAGTTTTTTTCCTTTCATCCACGCACGAATTTCCTAGAGCAGAAGAAGCGTAGCAAACACGGCGAAAATACAACAATGCTTGACTCTTGTAAAGTTAAATTCAAGCCGCATTAAGGCGGAACTGGTAGTTGAACTAGGGCTAAAGACACGAAGGTCCCCGTTACACTATCCCTGACAATTTCTATGTTTGACTCTTTTTTGCAGATTTGATGGCTTACTGCGATTATCTCCCCGACCAGCGGGGGAATCTTACGGGTCACTTTTGACCTACATTCTTGGTAAAATATGTTGTTCAATCCTATTGCAAACTAGTACGAAACTACCTATAAGCAAGTAGCGAGTTTTATTAATATCCGGTAGACAACATGAACAGCCGGAAATATTCAATTCAGGTGTTTTACCCTAAAACTTCAGTCCTTTTAAAAACTTAAAATAAGCGATTTTATGTTGTCGGTTTAGTGTTGTAGAATTCGTAAGCAACAATGTGGCCAAAGAACCGGTATGTAATTCATTTGGCTGGTAAATTTGGGTAATTTGCTTTATTTGTGAATGGCATCATCCAACCTCTTTCCCAGGGCTTTTTCCTAAAAAAAAAAAAAAAAAATTGGTGGGGTTTAGGGGAGGGGGCACTTTCTAAGCGAAAAAGCATCGGGAACGGGGTTTTGACGTCAGCGTGTTTCTTTTTCAGGACAACATATGCAGAACACCGGAAAGGGACGAGTTGGACCACCTGGCCCCCCTGGGAAACAGGGACCGGTTGGTGCTCCTGGGAAACAGGGACCTGCTGGTGCTCCTGGGAAACAGGGACCAGTTGGTACTCCTGGGAAACAGGGGCATGCTGGTGCTCCTGGGAAACCAGGACCAATTGGAGCAAAAGGATCAAAAGGTATCAAGGACAAACGACATAGAGATCAAGGGAAAAACTGAAGCTTTTATAACACCAACTGTGAATGTAGGAAAAAGAGCAAAAGAAACTCCCCTTTCAACATACCAACATTTACAAGTTAGCCACCCGGCTAGCTGTAAACAATAAGTTCCATTCATCGAATTTCAGCTAACATCTTATTTCCTTTCTATGGTGTTTTTGGGTCTTTTGCAAGCCGGCCATTTTTCAATCGTTATATTCGTGATTTGTAATCGTCAGAATCCCATAGGAAAAAATAGTCTCGCGACAGCTCCAATTTTGAGCCAAATGATGTGATACGTCGAGATTGAGTGCTTGGGGTCGTTTTTATACTTTGTAGGAGAACAGGGAAAACAAGGAACAAACAAGTCATTCCCAGGCCCTCCCGGTCCTAAAGGAGACCAGGGAGCAGTTGGAAGGACTGGAGCCCAGGGACCACAAGGTGCCAAAGGAGAAAAAGAACAGGATGGAGTTGGGACATCAGGAGTGAAGTACGTTCGCTGGGGAAGGACCACATGTCCTAGTGGTTCGCAAGTAGTTTATAAAGGTATGCAAAAAGGAGCTTACATGATAGTTACTATTATGCCATAATATACAGAAAGAGTGATAAGCTGAGGATTTTTATGACACTTATTCTGAATCATATTAAAAAGTGGCAACTATGAAATTTCTCTAAGCTAGTTACTTTTACTGTTCAATGACCCGGGCATCTCTTCAAGTTATCTTTTTGTTGCATCTTTCCAGCAGTGTAACTGATTCATGCATAAGAGTGAAATCTGGGTATGAGAGAGAAAGAAAGAGAGAAAACGCCCCTTGTTTTTTTTTTTTACAGTCTATGTCGTCGATCGGATCCATGAACATTGAATAATCAAGCAAATGTTTGCGAAAATTCTTCATTTCAAATAACCAGGACAGAGAAAAGACACCTTGCCTCCCTCAACCGGTAGCCGCCATTTAATGTACTTGCGAAGAGCGGAAAAGGAAAGTTTGGCCAGTTGACAGAATTTCCAAGAATAATTATTGTTCATAAATTTTTTTCCTTGCATTAGGTATAATGGGTGGAGAATACTACAATCATCATGGTGGTGGAGCGAACTACCTCTGCCTTCCACACAATCCAAAGTATGGCAAGTACACAAATGGCCATCAGGCCGCTGGATACGTGTACGGTACTGAATATGAAGTGAGTCAGTACAGCGGTAACCCTTTTAAGAGACATCTCCATAATCATGAAGCACCATGTGTTATCTGCTTCGTCAAGTCACGTGGCTCGATGCTGATGATGCCTTCCAGGAATGACTGTCCATCTGGTTGGACCGAGGAGTATCATGGGTACCTGATGACAGAATATTATGGTCACAAGCATTCACGTGATTTCATCTGCGTTGACGAGGATCCAGAGTTTGTTCCTGGTAGCAATGCAGACAAGAATGGTGCATTACTATACCCTGTGGAAGGTGTTTGTGGCTCACTCCCATGTCTTCCTTATGTCAGCGGTCGAGAGTTGACATGCGCTGTGTGCACCAAGTGACGGGAAGATACCTTTCACAGTGGCATGGGTACCATGCCGATGAGCTACGAAAACCAAATAATAATGGTTAAATCAGTATATACTTTAAACTAGACTTAAGCCACACTACGTTATCTGGTCTGCTAGCACTAAGGCGCCAGAAAGTCAGCTGTAGATTAATACGGGGTGTAAGCAATAACAATTAAAATAAGGTGAAAACATTGTTAAAAAATGTGTTTCTTTACTTCGAGTTTATAAAACCGTGATTCCAAGAAATCGGTACAAATGCCCTGGCTGACAGCAAGTAGCAAAGCCAATCTTCGATGACCGATGTAAACTTTAAACAAGTCCCTATTTTTTGAGTCCAATGAAAGGAAGAAGGCATACAAGAGAAGTGAATTTCCTCACCAGATTGTAGATCGCCAAACTCTGTTATTTACCTTTGAAAAGATCAAAGTGCGAAGCGCGAGGCAAGGGGACACGGATTCTCGGGGAAACTGTCTTTATAAAGCCTACTAGCAGTAATCGTACGTAGATTATAGTGTGTCGCCTTTCTCCATAAAGCATCTTAATCCTTTTTATCCTACACTGAGTTATGGGGAGTTGATTTCTCAAACGAAGTCAGTTTCGTAAGAAATCGTCTGGTTTTCCATTCCTGAATCAAACCTCTTCGGCGGAACTTTTGCATAGTACTATTTATTTGTAAGGCAAACATACTAATTGGCGCATGGCGCGCTCGGATGCTATTTTGACGTTTCAAGATGACGCAGATTTGGAACCGACACACCAACAACCTCTTTTCTCGATTTCTCGCGCTTGGAACATGCACAGGCCGCCCACGAACACACAGAATAGCCAACGACTCTCCTTCCTCGACGCAATATGATGTCCGGGCTGCCTGTGAACTATGATCCCAGGTTTGTCGAGTACCGCCTCACACCGCGCTCGCAATTTACTCGCATGATCAATATATTTGATTGCACCTGGTAGATAGACCAGACTGGTCCTTCTTTCCTCAGGGCCGCGCGTGGCGAGTAAAAAATTTTGTAAAAACAGATTATCAAGTTGTTGTCCGGCGAGCTCTTACGATGGCTACTCAATGGAAGAACAGCTAACAAATGCGAGATTATGTCACTATATTTTTAACCCATTAATTAAGCCCTGAGAGTGACCAATCTTTGAATCAGGGAGGACGGAGGATTTTGTGATAGAGGGGGCCTAGAGGTATAGTGTAGAGTGGCAATATGGGCGCGAAAGCGCCCATCAGGTTTGCGAACGGCGCACTTTTCTACGAAGTTTCGGGCGCATGCTCCTCCAGGAAAATTTTTGAGATTGAAGTTCTCTGAGTTGCAATCTAGTGCATTCTGGACGCTTGAATTTAGCAAATGTCTGGATTCCATATTGAACATGTAATGCTGAAATATTTAACAAGCCACAGGTGTGGTTGTGTTCAAAGAAACAAACAGTAAAAATTGAAGTTATAACACTCTGATTACATGATCTGTCAAATGACATTTACTCTGTGACGTTACCATGGGCATGACTTTCAACGGCTTACGTGTCCGTAGACGCTTTGCCTGCTCAAATGATGACATTGATATGTAATCGCCAGACAAAATGGATCTCTCGAGAACTTCCGATGGTGACGAATCATTTTCAGGAGGCTCGGAAATATCGCATGAATCACTAGGTGAGAGGAAGGTTAGTGCGCTTATCTGGTCACTTACAGTCACGCGAATTTGGCTCATTTTTCCATCCCGCGAGTAATTTGCCTTAGCAGTGATTACGTCGTTCGCCAAGTTTAGTGCAAAGATCCTACACTTAATAGGACAACATTGCCTCAGTTACAGCAAATGTGGAATTGTGTACGAACGGGAATGTGGTATGATGGATCTCTCATTTCTCCACGCAGATCCCGCGGGAACAATAACGGGAAATCCCTTGATGTGTAAGGTGCTTCGATGAGCTTGCTATGCAACAAAAACGGAATAGTTTTTCTCGCAGACGGTTAACTTAACGAATAAAGTACCGCAGAGGAAAGAAACATCGGTTAACGACGGTTGACAACGGTTAACAACTTTTCTGAAGAAAAACAACAGTTAGACTATCAGTTTCCTTTAATATATTCTGTTAACCGCTGTTAACCGTTGTTAACCGTTGGAATAAACATGTGCGTGCCTGTTAATCGTTTATTTCAAGCGTTTACGGTGCTTTCAAGCATTTTCCGTAGTATATAGAACCTTTTTGTTGATTTTCAAGCATTAAAAAGACCTTTTTACTCAAGTGAAAACTTTTTGACACTGGTGTAATTGTCATGAAATGCGCTATTTTTTGCTACAAAAGAACTGCCATCGCGTGACAACATGTTTTCGCTGTATTTGTGATCAAAGAGGCATTGCTTTCCCTACACATCCTATTTCTACCCATTTTGGAAGTTCTTCATTAATATTTTTTCTTTTGGCCTTGGTTGTCATAGAAGAATTAACGGTTTTATCGGCATGGATTCCATTATTTTGTCAAGTAGATAATCTGGTATATATGTTGTAAATTGTTCTAATTACACACTCAGTAAACGCGGGTATTGTTAACTCGGTGAAGCTTACTTTTCCAGTTCTACTCTAACTACATGGAGAAAGTTGTCACTGCAGCTAAGTATCACTACCTCTAAGGGTTATTTTTAACTGCTCCGCCGCATTCTTGAGTCCTCGTGCATGACCTGCACACCACGCACTATTATTTTTGAACAGGACAGTTGTGCTGCGCAAATATAATAAATACCCAGTCTTATCTAATTTATTCGACATGTAAGCACAATTAACGTTGGTAAAAAGGCCGGAGGTAAGGCTCCTATTAAGATATCATACTCGTGACACACAGTAACTCCTTAACCGTGGCCACCAACCACAATTAATTTCAATACTTTTTCTGTAAAGAGCATGATTTCTTTCTCATTTAGGTATAAGGTTTCTAATTTATGGCTAAATTTCTAAGTGCATAATTAATGCGTCCTAATTGTTTTTATGACACCTTCTTTCGTAGTCACAAAACTTTAGACAAGTACAACATCTGTGCAAAAAATCAATACCCTCCGACCTTACATTGCGAAGTTACAGCGATTTGAACAACTGGCCTTCACAGACAACCCCGGACAAAACTGTTGAGACAATTCCATCTATTTTCTAACTTTTGCGCCCTACTCCCGTCTCCCCTAAACACAAAAAGTAAACCCCCTCCCCACCCCCTATTCAAAGTTGCCTTGGTCTAAAAACCAACGTGTATAATTGTCATGCTATCCTAAACAACTTTGGATAAGGGGAGGGGGGAAATCGGGCATTCATTTGGCGGCGGTTTCAGTATTTGCCGGGATGACAGGAAAAAATAGGCATTTTCGCGATTTGTCTCAACAGGTTTTGTCCGGGGTTGTAGCAGGGGCCGAAGGGATTGCGGCGGGAGCACAATCTCCCGGTAAAGGCGGCAACGTTGGCTGTATTATACTAGAAGACGTCTTAGACATCCAGAAACATTAAACGTCGCACTGTTAAATGCGTCGTTAAGTGCGTCCCGTTTTTATACTAGACGTCCTAAATGTCTGAGACGACTAATTCATCTGTTAAGTGCGTCGATCGGACGCACTTAACTTCAGACGTTTTATTCGTCTGACATTTAATGCGTCTGCCTTATTTCACGTATTTTTACTAGACGTCTAAGTCGTCTAAGACGTCTTAAACGTCTCAGACGTATTAGACGTCCTCTAATATAAATACGGCTAATGTCTCCCTGAAAAATTGTCAAATCCAGTTTGTTTGAGGAGGTCATTGGTCATTTGCGACTAAAATTGTAGGCTTCGAACACAGATTCTTTTCTTATTTGCAATGTTTATTAAGGAAAATATATTAAAGTAACAAAGCTCGAAGCACCAGTCGACACACGTTTACTAAAGCAAAAAAATTCCCGGACAAAAGGAGGGGGGCGGCCCCCTGGGCCCACCCCTTAATCTGCCAGTGGGAATATCAACGTTTTACACACTGTTGACGAGAATTAAGTACATGATCAAACACAATAAAACTAATTAAAACTTCAACAAATTCTCCCATTAATAACAACAACTTTTATTCAAACACGGTTAAAATTAAAGCTAATACAGCTTCGAAACACGGAACACTCACGCGATGGTGATATGACACAAGTCGCCCCCACAAGTCGTACTTGTTCTGTCCCCTCTGGATAATTAGACGTTCTAAGGAGGATGGAGTTATGCGATGAAATATTTTATAAATTAAAGTGGCTATCTTGGTCATGTACATGTCAAATAACGAGTCTCACTTGACTGATTTTCGAACGTCTACAGAGGGTAAGTAACGGGGCAGTTTATATATGACTTTAGCAGCTCTGCAATAATGTTATAGATTCCACAACATTTCTTAAAACATTCTTTTTATTGGTGGCATACCCCCAAATTGGTAGCGCAAGACCGCTTATTTGTAGCGTAAGACCACTTATTCTGTAGAAAACGTGTAGAGACAACAAATGGATAAAGTATGGAATATTTTTTGAAGGATAGCTACCATACTTTAATTTGCAGTTTGGGATTTGTAGGGGATTTGTAGGGATCGGCGTTTTCTCCAGGAAAATTTTACACAAACTTGTGCCCAGTTTACTACTCGCCCAGTGCGAATCCCTTGTTTTTGGGAAGCCATAATGTCCCATCGTGATCGAGCAATCATTTTCTTCAGTTTTGCACTGTTAAACTTATCTCCTTTTAGCAGTAGCCCTTTGGTCGGTGGAAATTGCCCCAAGGTTAGTGAAATGAAAGGAAATTTTACATGAAACATGAATTCAGTTTACATTCAAGGTATTGCTCTCTGAAATTTCTTCGTGAAATCAGGAAGCTTTGTGAGGTTAATGTTATCGGGAAAAATGTCTGGTTTATTCAGATTTGAAGTCTCTTTTATTATTTTCACTCAAGCACGAGGCACTACTCGATAACTTCAAGTCTAATTATTTTTTAGACAAAGGGGAAA